GGATTAATGCAATGATGAGTGCGTTGACGATCGAAAGAGCAATCGGTTTTGGATCTGTTACTAATGAACTGCTCTACAGCATTGGATATATAACAAAAACTGAACGAGATCCATTTGATGAATTCATTATTCCTCTTGATCGAATAGACGACTTTAATGGAAGTGATCGTGAATCTTTACGCCAGAATGTGAAAGGTAATGTGTTTCAGAAAACACAATTCATCAATATTTTCATTTTTATTGTTCATTTATGCGTTACACGTCGTTGTTCTTGAGGAAAAAACGAAGCAGGACGACGAATGATTATAAACGTAATTATCGATAAAGTATTAGAATTGAATCCAGATTTATTTAGTTATGTAGAAGAGCAATTGTGTCAGGATACAAGAGATTTATTTGATAACCAACCTACCTTATCAACTAATACACAATCAGACGTGATGTTGATGCATGGTTATACTGATTATATTATACACAATATTTCACATCGTTCATCTTCATCATTAACCACTGTTACTAATGATGAAAATATGGAAAAAAACAGAATTATGGTAATCGAAGCAAAAATCCATTTCAATAGGAACGAACAGTGAGCACAATTACTGGCAGCAAATGGAATATTTTTCCGCTTGTATTCTGACAGAATAAGGCTTATATCAGAAACAGAACACAAAAAACATACCAAAAAAGATACTACTGATAACATCGGGTTGATTGCACAACTTCAATGGTTGTACAGAATATAGACACAGAACAGTGAATTTAGTTTTACAGTTTACTGCAAAGCTAAGTTCATGTGTTCGAATCTCTATTCGTACAAGATTAATTTTGTGTTTTTCGATAGCTTTAGTTTAGAATACTATAATGGAATATTTTTCTCCTTGTATTCTGACAGAATAAAGCTTTTATCATGATTGTTTGTCAGCAGTTGTACAGAGACTTTAAACCTGTCTATGGTTTATTAACAACTAGTAGTGAATTTGTTTTCTATCGTTTAACGTCACCAGCACAAGCAATAATTAGACCAAAATCAGCTGGTCCACTATTATTGATAACACTCATTTCACGTTTAACCTTATTTCTTCTACGTTTATATACACAGTTACATTCTGTTTAAACTTACCATGTCTAATCTTCGATGTATACCTAAATTTCTATTCGGTGACGTTGAACAATAAACGAAATTGATATAGAACAAACCCTAAGTCTCCATAGTATATCTGATATAGTTAAAGACTAAGTTTTCCCGAAGCAACTTCTTGCGTGCAATCCAATGGCAGCCTCAGAAATTCTTGAAAATGCTGCTAAACCGAAATAAGTAGCAATTTTTGACTGAGAATATATATAACTCGCAAGACTTGCAACACGCATCTCAACGACAGAAACGAATGTAACTTCATTCAAACGCGAGAATCAGTGTGTTGTACTTTCTTCGAAAACAAAAATCGCAATTCCTACAAGAACAGAACGAATTTATTGCGTGCAATAAATTCGTTTTAGTACTCGGTGAGGGTGAAAAGGAAATCTGCTTTTTACAAACGCGAGAAATTGAAATTATTCAAACTCGAAACGCAACTGTCTACAAATGTAGAACACAAAACGCGACACGCAGCGAAAATTTGTGTTCAGAACGCGTTACATTCGTTTAATTGAGTCCTAAACACAAAAAGTTCCGTGCCGTTTGCGAGTCTTAAAGTCTACTGCGACTGAAAACGCGTTTTTAAAAAGTTACGATGGAAATAAACGCGTTTCTCGCGAAATATTGATGGCAAAAACGCGGTTTTGAGTACGGCGTATATTTAAAGTTCAGGAAATTCGCCGTATTCATGGTGAAACTGTACATTCTCGGGCTCTATGAATGCTAAACCGCGTTAAAACGAATTTTCAAAAGATATAGGTAACTGACTGGATAAGCGTACAAATATTTGCATATTTGCATAGAAGCACAAAAAATAATGTCGTAGAAAGAAACAAGCCTTTCATTATTTGAATAAAATGCTTTCAACGCAAATCATTTCAGTTTGTTCTTATGTCGTCAAATAGTAATATTTGTTTCTCATGCTGCTAATTTCACTGTTTTACAGAATGTAGAAATTCTTTTTGCAAAAAGCGTTAAATTCATACGGTTTTTGTTAAATTTGCCGAATATAGTTTTCTTCTAAAGAGTTGAATGTGCTTTACTTTCAATGATACATAAACTTGAAAATAGGAACTCTACACATAATACATCACAATATTCTGTAGTGATAGATTATAAACATATAATTATAAAATGACTGTATGTTACAATTTTATTTTTAAACTTCGTTTCTTCATTCTATACTTTCCTTTCATAATTGTCACAATCATTTCATATTTTAATTTGCCTATTTTATTATTGAATAAGAATAATGAGATCACAGCGTATTTATCAGTTGTTATAATGAATTGGAATCGTCCAGAATATGTTAAAAGAATTGTTCAATTATTAGTAAATGATCGAAGAATAAAAGAAATTATTATCTGGATATGTAATTCAAATCCAAAAACATTTGTTCAATTTAAACATCGAAAAGTAAAAATAATAAAAAAACCAGAAGCTAATAAACAATATGGTTTAGCAGTAAGATTTCATGGTTGTAGGATGGCAAAATATGAATGGGTTATTATACAAGATGATGATTTAATTATAACTGAATTTGACTTAACTAGAATGATCGAAGCCAAACAAAATTTACCTTCTTATGAAAAACATCGTTTAATTTGTTTTAATGATGATGCACGTGTTCGTCGATATACATATTCGAAACAAGCCCCAAAAAATCATGAACCATTTATAGTTTGTTTAACTCGTCAATTATTAGTTGATCGTTTTATGTGTAATAATTTTTTTAAATATTCATATTTAATGGAATATATGTTTATTAATAATACACGTGTTAAATATTGGAATGGTGAAGATATTTATTTAAATTTGGTTAATATGCATGTAACTAATGGTTTATTACCTTTAATATTAACAAATGCAACACGTTTAACACTTCCATATACATCTGGTCAAAGTAGTTCACCTTACCATTTTCAACATAGATTTCAATTTTTAAAAGAAGCAGCTAAACGCTTAAATATTACAGATGATTTATATTATAATCAACAACATAAAGACAAATTAGATAGAGAAAATATAGAAAGAGTTCGGAAAGAATTGCAAAAGTTGACATTGTAGATCTTTTATTGGTTTTACTAAATAAATATGTACTTCTACTATTCTTGTATTAGAGAAAAACTGCCTGTAAGGATGACTGAAGATGGGAGACTGATACGCACAGATTTGAATGAGATGCTGACCATACGATAGGGAATCATTGAGACTACTAAAAATAATTTCAAAAGTTTGTGAAACCATCCTTTCACTGACCTATGATACCAGTGGCTGGAGCCCTCATCACTGACTTGAAGGAATGATCATCATAGTGGACGCGGATCACAGTGCTCGAATGAGGAAACATATTTGAGTGTCCTCTCTAGAAACGAGAAGAGAAACATGCTTTTAACAGCATATTCTAACTAATTCGGGAAAAAAATTTACTGTATATCCTTTGTTTGCTTTGAACCGCAGAGCAAAGTGACAGATAAAAAGCTGCTCTGACATGAAGAACCTTCATTGCGCAGTCGACTAAATCAAGTATAATTCTTTTACGTATAAGTTTTTTATCTTATATCTATATGTATATCTGATAATGTTATAGACGAAATGAAAATAGCTCTCGACATATATGAATTCTAGTAATGTTGATAAACTACGTATGTCTTCATATTCTGTTGTCACGCTAATGACCTGCACATGTATTAACAAAAACAAACAGAGACAGGATGAAAAATATCTGTTACGCAAAGAAATACTCGATTATGTTTGACGTTGGATATAGAACAGATATAACAAACTGACAAGCTAAAAACGCAACTTTTATTATCATAACCAGTGAATCAAGACAGGGATAAGTAAGTCAACTTTGATACAGATTTTGTAGAAGAAATCTGACGTCTACAAAAGGCTAAAAATAGAGCTTTTGCTCCTGCTCTCTAAAGCAGACAAGATTGAATCCTGTAGAATTCAGCTCCTACTCAAGATGCTTTTATTTCGACGCAGATAGAGAATTCATTTTTGTGTAGTTTTCCATGCATGTTAGACCTTCGTATTGCATCAGTGCATTAAAGTTCATTAATCATTTTTCATAGCTAATTGTCACTAATCAAATATTTTTCGTAAGGAAATAGAAATGAAATCTTTTTTCTCATATACTGACGGATAGCGCTTGTCGAGTTGATCAAGAATATGTGTGAATGTTTGAAAACGGAAAATAATATGAAAGTTTGTCGAAAAACGAATTTGTCCGTTGTGTTTATCCTAGAGAATGTACCTGGGGCCAAGTACTTGCACCAACGAGGGAATACCTCGTTTTTTGATGAAAATCTAGTGTATAAAAGGTTATCAATCATGCTGATTCCGAATATGACCATGGGGGTGGCCCAATGCCCTTCAAAGATCCGATCTTCTAGAAAACCAGTTTTTCAGAAAATAACCCAAACCTTTCTTAACGATACAGAATTGTAGCCCAAAAATTTCGGATTAAAATAAGACATCTCCCAGCTCTACATGACCTTTCTTTGCAAAGTTATAGAATTTATTCCCTTGACTGAAAGTCTAGGGTCATATGAAATAAATGTCGGCGTCGGCGTCCGCATGTGACGGACGTACATACATATAGTGACCAGTGAGTGTGACAGACGTACACACATATAGTGACCAGTGGGTGTGACGGACGTACATACATATAGTGACCAGTGAGTGTGACAGACGTACACACATATAGTGACCAGTGGGTGTGACGGACGTACATACATATAGTGACCAGTGAGTGTGACGGACGTACATACATATAGTGACCAGTAGGTGTGACGGATGTACATACGTATAGTGCCCAGTGAGTGTGACGGACGTACATACATATAGTCATGTGGCAGTGTGACGGACGCACATACATATAGTGACCAGTGAGTGTGACGAGTTCCGATTTCCCCTATTATCAGCTTTTCTCAGGAAACGGCGATGTACACCTCATTTGATAGAAAAATCTTCGGGCTATTCAAAACAGTATTCCGATTAATCAGGTCTCGATCTATGTGTGAAGTGGGTTTTCACTTGGGAACTGGAAACGTGCGAGATATGTGGATGGAACCATCGTGGTGTTCGTTCATTAGCTGTGTGATCAGGGAAATTGTTTGTATGTTGCGTGTATTAGATTGAGATGTTTGTGTTGGGTAATCAGGAGGCACGTGGTTTTGGAATGAAATTATTGTGGGAATTATTCATCAAGTGGGTGATCAATGATGATGTTCTTGTTGATCTGTGGTTCTGTGTGTAGGTTGAGATTTTGCTTTTGGTAGGTTGTAGATATGAGGTATTTGAATTGAATTGTTGTGTGAGCCATTCATTAGTTACGTGTCGGATTAGATGATTGATGATTATGTTTCCATTCTTCTTTGACCTGAGATTTGTGTTTTTGGTTTGGAGGATGGGTAATATACGAATATGGAGCCATTGTAAGGCTTTCCCGTAAATGTTGGTTAATGAGTAACTTTTCGAATTTTCTATTCGAAAGAACAAAGTCTCAGCTTACGAGGATTTGATCAAATTCATTTAGTGTTGTGTGTTTCGTTTTTATGGCGACAGCCTGTGCAAAAAATGTACATCTTGGGAGCACCTATTGTGTCCGTTGAAGAACTTATGTTAAGAGTTTTTTTCAAAATAAATAAAGTTTATACAGGTTGAAGGTAGTAAATGTCTAATATTCCCCGTACTTGTCAATACTGAACCGAAATAGGAAAGGAAAGTTATTATTGTATTTTCGTTCAGCTGAATAGATTCGTTCATACCTCAATGTTGCGGCCTGATATGACCGTTGTTTGGCTTTCGATGTTGATGTAAATTATTTTTACTTTCCAATGCTTCATCACCTAGAGAAAGAGAGTTTTGTATGAGCAATAGGTCAAGTTATCGCTCACGATTTAGATTAAACGACATGTCTGATTGTTCCCGTTCGTCCAAGAGCATCCTTGAATTGTTCCCGCACATTGCACTATCTATTCACTTCAATGTTGAAAACAACAATGAATTAAAAAGCTTTGCTCGTTTTTCAGCCATTCGCATAATTCACGACATAGCTTCATCAGTTTACCATCATCTTTACATATTCCACTGTTTTTCATGGGAAACGATAATAATTGAAAGCAACAACCATCGTTAAAAAAAAGACTTTGAAATAAAAGTGTTTAATTAGATCTATTCATACATTGCTTGGAATTAAACCTTGACAATAATTAGAGTTTTTTGTAGATTTTCTTACGTTAGATGAACAAATACTCGCGTTCCCGAATCAAATATGACTCTTATCTTATTACTATTAAATGTTTAAGGAGTAAACGATGACCAGGATAACTACTCGAACAGAGTAAATTTGCAATTACTATTACACGCGGAGACCTATTTATTTGCTCATGAAATCCTATCCCCGCTGCTGATGTCTATCGATCTACAACATAACGTTGATGGATCTGATAATTTCTAGTGTCATTATTCAAATATCTCGCGTACCTCCGCAGTTCAAAAGTGAAACATGATCACGCATAGATCGGGAGATGATCATGAGCAATGGCTATGATCACATAGCATGTTTCACTTTTGAACTTCGAAGATACGCGAGATATTTAAACAAAGGGGTCATGTGAATCATACTAAAGCCACCGGAGGAGGACATTCTAGGTGACAAAAAGCAATTTTTGAAGCTGTGATAAGATAGCAGATTAATTTAGTAACTATGTGATCAATGATATTGCTTGAAAATATTTTGAAATTCAGGATTACATTTTTACAATACGTATATGACTGTGGGCATTTAATATATACTTTTGCTCGTGAAGCAGAGATGGACGAGTACGCAGATTCTCGAGTACGAGTATTTTTAAAAGAAGAAAATACTCATGAAAAACGCTGTTTTAATTATGAACTGTTGTTTTTAAAACTAGACCGAAGTGTTATATCAGAAGCGAAAAGAATGAAAAAGTTTTCCCTGTTCTATCATCATATACCCGAAATTTATAGTAAAATCCTTTTTTTTTGTTTCGAATATGTTTTAAAACAGTCACACATCAACATTCTGCAATTTTAAATGTACTGAATAAGGTAAAACGGAATGCTTTTGCCTCAAAGAATACTATAACATACTGAAAGTCAATAACATTATAAAAGGCTTTCTATTCAAGACTTAAAACGCTTTGTTCTCTACTTAAACATATTTCCAATGGTAGAATATCTGTTGCAGTTTCCTCGCATTGCTTTATATACGATTTTGTAGTCCGTAAAATTCTCTGTCGAATGATACCTAATAAGCGTGGTTTGGTGTGAGCGACTTGTCCAAACCTCATGGCGTTACGCTTCTGACACATTAAACTTCGGTTATCTCGGAAACTAAAGTAGCTAGAAAGTTCGTTCAAACGTCAATCGACGCAATTCATCATGCTCTACTTATGCTGTGAGAACGAAGCTTTTTGGATGTTAAATTGGGCTTTGAGGAAGATTTTAGTGTTGCATCACGGTGTTACAAAAAGGATCCTTTTTAAAGAGTGCTGCTACGAAAATCCTGATTTGCAGAGAAAATAGTTCTCTAAACAGAACATTCCTGGAGCCAATCCTGTAGAGCAGCTCATGGGCTTTCTAATAGTAAAAATATATTTCACCTAGGTTATTAGATTTGCCTGAAAAACACAAAATATAAGCGTTACAGTGTTACGTTTTTCATCACGGCGTTACGCACATTTCTATCAAGCATATTTGAGGCACTTAACACGATGGTAAAGTTTTGATTTTCACAACTTCGTGTGTTCTTTGTATATTTGATCGATCTGCGCAAAAATCAAGTTGCTGTATCAAAATAAGAGCTCAAAAATTGTATAGTAAGTAGGAAACTGTACAACTATGTACAAATTGCACATAGCAAGTAAACTCAAAAACAAATATGCCATTTTGTAAAGCATTCAATTCTCTACAAAAACATATTTTTAGAAATTGGTTATTGTATATTTTATTATATTTTTGTAGAGAAAGGACGGAGACGATAAGAGTCAAAATCGGCCCACGCTCAAATCAGTCTTACGTTAACTCATCTG